CCACAATGCATTTCTTTTCGCACCCCCACCGGCCCACACTGCCCTGCGGCATGCCGCTGGGGGAGGAAGGGCGGGCGAGCGGCCCAAGACATGACTCCAGGCTGAGTGTCGGGATGCCGAAGAGGCACCAGAGGTCCCCAAGGGTTGATTGCGGGGCCGGCTGAGCACGAAGCAGCCCTAGAGAAAAAGACTCTGGCCTGAACCGGGTCGAATTAAGCGCTTCGCGCTGCTCTGCACCAAAATGACAGCGCCGATGTGGAAGCCATCTTGGTACAGAAGGGAAGTCGCCGTGCTAGTTCCCGCCCCCTCGCCTCGTTGAAAACGGAGGAGGCGGTCTCCGGCTCGGGAGCCGGCCTCGCCCACCCTCCCCTCAAATAACCTCCTCACCCGCGCATGCGCGCCGGGGCAGGGCCGCCGCCGCCGGGCGCCGCCATCTTGGTAAAGGACTGGAACCGAGAGACGAGACTTCCTGTTCCCGCGGGAGCTGGAGGCGGGACTGCCACGTCCGAGTAGACCTGGCGCGGAGCGGATCCCGGAGCTGGTGAGCATTCCCCGCTTTTCCCCACGTCCTTTCCAGGCTTCCCCACCTCATCATAGAGACGAGGGCCCAGAGAGTCTGTGAAGTGGAGGAGCGGAGCTTAGAGCGGTGTCCCGGGCCCTAGTCGGGAGGAGGTTCGGAAGAAAAAGAACGAGTTGGGAAGCGCGCGGGTGGGGGCAACATGGAATGGGGGAGCGGCTGGTAGACGGGCGCGGAGGGCGCGAGCGGAGTAAGCGGACCCCGCGCAGGTATAGAGGTGATCAAGCGGAGTCACTGTTTCTGTCCCTCTGGTCAGCGTGATGGCCAGAAGCCTGGGGGCCCCCCACTGGGTGGCCGTGGGACTGCTGACCTGGGCGGCCCTGGGGCTGCTAGTGGCCGGACACGGGGGTCATGGCGACCTGCACGAGGACCGGCACGAAGACTTCCATGGCCACAGCCACTCACATGAGGATTTCCATCATGGACACAGCCACGCCCACGGCCATGGCCACACACACGAGAGCATCTGGCATGGGCATACCCATGCTCACGACCACGAACATTTGCATGAGGATTTGCATCATGACCATAGCAATGGCCACTCCCATGAGAGCCTCTACCACAGAGGACATGGACATGACCATAAGCACAGCCATGGAGGCTATGGGGAGGTTCCAGGCAGCAAGCGGGACCTGGATACTGTCACTCTCTGGGCTTATGTGAGTCCCTAGGGGATGGGGGAGAGAGGGACTGGTCTGGATTGTTGGGAAATCCTGCACACTTGACCCCTGACTCTCCCTCACCAGGCACTGGGGGCCACAGTGCTGATCTCTGCAGCTCCATTTTTCGTCCTCTTCCTTATCCCTGTGGAGTCAAACTCCCCCCGGCACCGCTCTCTGCTCCAGATCTTGCTCAGTTTTGCTTCTGGTGGGCTCCTGGGAGATGCTTTCCTGCACCTCATCCCTCATGCCCTGGGTAAGTAACTTCAAGTCACTACCTCAAATCCTATATAATAAAAGGCTAATATGCAAATCAACCGAACAGCAGAACGACCAGTCTCTATGACGTGCACTGACCACCAGGGGAGACACTCAACGCAGGAGCTGCCCCCTGATGGTCTGCGCTCCCATAGAGGGTGCACCGCTCAGTCCGATGCCCAGCTCACAGCTGGCGAGCACAGCAGCAGTGGTGACTGTCTGACTGATGGCTTAGGCCCGCTCCCCATAGCCTAAGCCGTCAGTTGGACATCCCCAAGGGCTCACCGACTGCAAGAGGTTGTAGGACGGGCTGAGAGACCTTCTCCTCCTGCCCCCTCACACCCCCAGTGTGCGAATTTTGTGTGCCGGGCCTCTAGTCTTAATATATTTTGTTCTTTGGGCAAGGGTCCTTTCCCCTTTGTGATCTCTGGCCTTCCAATATTTCTGCAAATATACCCCGCTTGGGGCAGGTATTTTCTCATCTGCCCTTTTCTCCCTCTTCTTTCAGAACCTCATTCTCACCACCTTCAGGAGCAGCCGGGACATGGACACTCCCACAGTGGTGAGGAAGGGGAAGATGGAGACAGGGATTGGGGAGCTGGGGAAGGTCTATCCCTCCCAATTTTTCTATACTTGAGGAGGAGTCTGGAACCCACATCTCCCTTAATGTCTCAACGCATCCATCCCCAGGCCAGGGCCCTATTTTGTCAGTGGGACTGTGGGTCCTCAGTGGAATTGTCGCCTTTCTTGTGGTGGAGAAATTTGTGAGACACGTGAAAGGAGGACACGGACACACTCATGGACATGGTCACACACACGGAAGTCATGGACATGGAACACAGGGTAAGCCCAGGAACACCTTTACTGCAAGCCACCTCGCTTGCCTCAGAATCCCTTCATCTTATGGCCCTTAGGTGGGAGGGGAGTTCCCCACTCTTATCAACTCCTTCCTTCCCTCAGAGCGCTCTGCAAAGGAGAAACAGAACTCAGAGGAAGAAGAAAAGGCAGCAGAGGGGTTGAGGAAGCGGAGAGGAGGGGGCACAGGGCCCAAAGATGGGTCAGTGAGACCTCAGAATTCTGAAGAGGAAAAAACAGGTTCAGGTGAGGTCCAGAGCTGGTAATAAGCCTGGGCAAGGGACATCATCATGAATCACGTGGAACATGTGCAGTGGGCAATGGTAGATGTCTGGAAAACAACGGAGGGGCTGGTTGTGAAGTGCTCTCTGGGGGAATATGTGATAATGACTGACCAGGGCTGGGATCGGGCGATGGAGCATCTAATTGTTTTGTCTTCCTTTCCTCCTGTATAAGATCTCCGAGTATCAGGGTACCTCAATCTGGCTGCTGACCTGGCACACAACTTCACAGATGGTCTGGCCATTGGTGCTTCATTTCGAGGGGGTTTGGGATTGGGGGTCCTGACCACGACGACTGTCCTGCTACATGAAGTGCCCCACGAAGTTGGGGACTTTGCCATCTTGGTCCAGTCTGGCTGCAGCAAAAAGCAGGTGGGTGATGATGTGCCTCCTACCCTCTACTCCCTGCTCATCCACCCCAAACCCAAGTCTCCCTCTCCTTAGTTTCAAACAAGTCATACTGTTATTGACAATAAGTCTAGAAATGAGGGGAAGTTCGGTTTCTTTTTTCTATAGCTTAGTATTTTTTTTAAACCCTAACCTGAGCACATGTTCTTTGTTTTTAGAGAGAGAAAGCGAAAGAGAGAGAAACATTGATTGGTTGCCTTTTGCACGTGTCCCAACCAGGACCAAACCTGCAACTTAGGTATGTGTCCTGACCAGGAATAGAACCCAGAACCTTTCCGTGCACAGGACAGCACTCCAACCAACTGAGCCACATAAGCCAGGGCGCTTAATATTTCTTGAACTGTGGTCCATAAACCATCTGAATGGTTTATTGGGGTCTTTCAGACCACACTCCCCACCCTGGATTACTGAATCAAAAGGTCTGTGAAAAGGACCTTTTTGATATCTAAGATTTTTCAGAAAATGTTTATTCTAGATCCCCTCTTCTTATCATATTCTTCTTTTTTTTTAAATATATTTTATTGAGTTTTCACAGAGAGGAAGGGAGAGAGATAGAGAGCTAGAAACATCGATGAGAGAGAAACATCGATCAGCCGCCTCCCGCACATCTCCCACCGGGAATGTGCCCGCAACCTAGGTACATGCCCCTGACCGGAATCGAACCCGGGACCCTCCAGTCCGCAGGCCGACGCTCCATCCACTGAGCCAAACCGGTTTCGGCCATACTCTTTTTTTTAAAATATATTTTTTTTATTTCAGAGGAAGGGGGAGAGAGAGAGAGAGAAACATCAGTGATGAGAGTCATTTATTGGCTGCCTCCTGCATGCTCCCTACTGGGCACATGCCCTTGACTGGAACCCAGAACCCTTCAGTCTGCAGTGCAGCACTGCACCACTGAGCCAAACCAGCTAGGACTTTATCATACTCTTTTGTTTCCAAAGATATACACCCTACCCATATATACCTATATCCTACCAGCCAAGTCTAACCTACCGATAATCTTCAGATGATGCTGAGTGCCTCTCTCTCTTTTCTGCCCACCAGGCAATGTGTCTGCAACTACTGACGGCAATAGGGGCGCTGGCAGGCACAGCCTGTGCCCTCCTAACTGAAGGAGGGGCAGTGGGCAGTGAAGTTGCAGGTGGTACAGGCCCTGGCTGGATTCTGCCATTCACTGCAGGTGGCTTTATCTACGTAGCGACGGTGTCTGTGTTGCCTGAGCTGTTGAAGGAGGCTTCACCATTGCAATCACTTCTGGAGGTGCTGGGGCTGCTGGGGGGAGTTGTCATGATGGTGCTGATTGCCCACCTCGAGTGAGAGGTGGGATAAACTGCCCCCACCCCAGCCCCAAGCCTTTAGCCTCTCAGTCCTCTGGGTCTGGGGTCTGTGGAGGTTGGGGGCCTGGCCAGACTCATCTGCCAAAGGAAGTTGTTTCCTAGGGAAGTACTGGTGTGGGCATGAAAGCAGCAAGATTTGACAGTCTTCTAGGAGCTGTAGGGATGAGTATGAGAGGCCAGAGGGACCATAGTGTTGGGCATGTGCTGACCATGTTGGGTGTGGGGCACTAAATGGGGCCATGGAGAAGGCTGGAAGAGACCACTGATGGTGGCCTACGGAGCCTCCTACCCCACCTGTTCTCAAGAGAACCAAGCTGCCACACACAGATTTCCCCAAGGTCCTCCTCCTCCTCCCTCCCACCTGTGGGTGGGGGCTGCAGGGAGGGCTAGAGCCCTGGGAGTGGGAGCAGCAGGCGTCGCGATAAACATCTACTAAACTTCAATCGTGTGTCTTGATTTGGAGGGGAGGGGCTTTAGTTGCTAATCTCATTGCCTGATTTTTGTTTCTAATATTTTTTATATCGCTGTTTGAATCGAGGGGGTGGGGTGGTGACCGGAAATAAAGTCCTCGGATCTTCCGCCCCAAATGCATTCTTTGTCTTTTGGGGGGAAATGGGGGCCCCTCGTCTTCCCACTCCTCTTGGCCCCAAGTGGCAGTGCCTGGCCACGCCCCCGCGGTGGGAGGTCGGCTCCCGTCGGTGGCCGCCGGCGGCCTGAAGCTGCCGCGGCTACAATTGGCCAGGCTTTGCCCTCGCCCCGCCCCCGCTGCGCCCGGGTTGGCTCCGGGCTGGTCCCCGCCCACGGCCAGCCATGGCGACTCCGCTCCGGCTCGGCTCGGCGCTGGCCCTGGTCACAGGTTGAGGG